AAACTAAAGCTTCACTCCTAAGGATTGTACTGAAAAAATTTGAGGGCTTTACATGCCCTAGAAGACCTAGAACGACTTTTTAAATTTCCTATACATTTGTCTGTAAGAAAGTCTCGGGAAAATTACAGACAAATATATAGAAAATCTAAAGGAAGCCTCCGGGGAAATTTAAGCACAGGTACGCCTCCAAAACTTTTTAGGACAATCCTTTGCTTTGTAGCTTTAGTTTACAATTGATATTTTTTTCAGAACAGCCGTCTTACGGAAATTATTCGACATTAGATTCTCATACAAACACTGTAATTTCTCACACGTTTGCCTACTCGTCAAGATGGCGTCGAAAACCGTGACAAGGTCTATTGACGACATCAGCGTGCTCAATGGGAATATGAAGCACCCTCGCGCTATTGAATTTGATTAGGCGAAAATTCTAACTATGTTACGGTGTATGACATTTGCAGACTGCAGACTGCAGATCACAGATTTTAGATTGTAAACTTCTTAAATGACACAAAAAATCTTCCTAATAAAGGTGACGTCATGAAAAATATAACATCGTGTGAACGTGAGAAAGTAGCCTGGGAACAAGGTTAATATTTTTGCGCAAAGTTACATTGGCCTCATTCCCAAGATGCTGTTGGCTATTCTTCACCGACCCTCACTCAACTCACCCAGCATATCACTAATTGCGTTGACTCTTTATTCTTCTTTGATTATTGTGAATTGATAATGACAAGTAGCAATGACCACTAACCCCTGTCTAAATAGTTGTCTTCTGTACAAAAAAGTTTTTAGGTTGCGAGCACTTCGTGCTCGCTACAGTTGGTACGTCGACAAAAACAACTAGGGTAGATGAAGGACATTTAACACCTTTTAAATGACGTATTTCATCTTAGCAGTATTTAAGGATATGCCAAATAATCTAGAACGAAAAGATCCTACCTGAACTCGACGAATTACCAGAAGTGCATTTTGAATTTCTAAATAGGCAAATCATTGCTCATACTCAAGTCCTAGTACACAGGTGGGGCCCCCGTAGAATAAGGATTCCGGCGCTGTTTCACAGACAGACTTATATAACCATATTTTAATTTCATCTGTGGTGTAGGCTAAATTGCTAGCCTGTTGCTATGGATTCATGAGCAAGTTTGTGACATCGGCAGACATTATTCTGCTCTAATTCAATAAGAAAAGAACAGCCAACAGCTCCTGTAGGAATGAGGTCGGTGTAATTTGAGTGAAAAATATAAACTTCGCTTCTAGGCGTTACTTCTCGAAACAAGGTAATGTTGATGATGACGCCACCTTTATTACGATATTTTTGGTTTCATTCAATTAACAGTCTTGCTGCCTCATGCAGTCTGCAGTCTACAAATGTCATACACCGTTCTGACTTTAATCAGGAGCACCCAACGTCAACTGTCGGAAAATATCTGTTCGGAAGAAGATTTGGGATTTAGAATTTTCAGAACTTTTGTTGTAAAATTTCTTGCTTGCCTGCCTCTCCTAGGAGTTTCGAACATCTAAAAAATGGTATAATTGCCTATTTTTAACAGATTTTTACCCTAATAAGGTCACCTCGAATTTTCGGGAGCCCTTTTTCTGGCTGAAATTTTCGAAAAGGTAAGTTTTCATCCCTATGATTTTGGGATCACTAGACTTTCAGCTAAAATCCGAACAGAAACTTTTTAGGGGATAAAAATATGCCTATATCTACCGTTTAAATACCAAAATACGTTTAATAGTGCTATGTTTAAGTGTTTTTGAACTATATTCTCGTTGGGTGCCCCTCTTTAATTCGCCGTCAGTCTTGAAGTAATTTACTGCCAAGTAGAACGGTGAGTCTGGCTTCAACATGTTTTCTGGGGGCTTATCTTTGTAGGTTTTTTACACCTGAACGGGGTCTCATTCAGCTGACTCGTCGGTTTAAGAGGGGGGTGAATAGGGGTGTGCGAATCCGCCGATCCGTGGTATTTTTAGGCCCGATCCGTCGATCCGACTGAATTTTTGTTCAAATCCGAATCCGTGTCACTTTAAAAATTTTTCGTGGTATATAGAAAGTAGCGTTGTAGCATGAAAAAATGAATTACTTAATATAGTTATTCTGCAATCGCAACAGATGCGGGACTTCATGTTTAAAAAGTTTTCGTTACAGCTTCAAAACATTAAGCATTAGGGACAGAGCTTATAATGTTTCTTCCAACGATACAGATTTGACTAATCAAATGGTCTGCAAGCTTGCAAAATGAAAGTATCTGGTATTGCGTACAAGATTTTTCAATAAATTTACTTGCTGACATCCGCCGCTTTGGACGTGCTTCTAGTCGAGCCGCAAAATTCGGAAGAGGCAGAACTCAACTTCATGGTAATTTGCTTACCAGTAAGTATTTTCCATGGTTCATCTTGGAAGTCTTGAGACCATAATCTTTATGAACATGTTCCCACTTGGCAACAGACGGGTAAAAGGGTTAGCCACGGCAAACTGCATTTGCTTTCCGGTGCAGATACAGTTTCATTTACTCGTAGTTTGTCTTGTACTCAATGATCGTCAATCCTAGCATTAAATATAAGGAGCAAAATCCAGTTTATCATTTCACCGATCAATTTGTAAATTTGATTTTTTTTAATAGTTCATGAGTCGCTGTCAATCCTAGCATTAAATGTGAGGGCCCAAAAATCCAGTATAACAGTCCAGCGGATGTGATTACGGAAAAATAACTCTCACCTTACGAAATGAATGTGGGAGACGCTGTGGGCTAATGGTTAGTGCGCTGGACTCTGGATCGGACGGTGCGACTTCGAGTCCTGGGCGGGACACTGCGTTGTGTTCTTGAGCAAGACCTGAACCATGTGTCACCATGCAGGAACCATGCACAAGGTTGCCTGACGTCATTTACGTCACGCTGTCTATACTAGAATACATGTATATGCGTCGGGTCACGAGAGAGTTTTTTCTGGAAACCTCGGAAGTGGAACGTTAGCCGACAAAACACCAACACATTGACTAAGGCCGACCGAAAATTGATGATCCGATCCACAATCCGGACTTCTAGACTGACAGAATCCGGAAACCGGGCCAAAACTTTCAGCTGACCCGCGATCCACGGTATTTTTCAAATCCGCGAATCCGCTCGATTTATCGCCGAAATCCACAATCCGTGAGCTTTTTAAGGCCAAATCCGCCGATCCGCGGACCTATTCACCCCCCTCGTTTAATTGTTTTGATAGAACGCAGCTTCACTTGACGTTGATTCCTCGGGTTTTCTCCAGTTCTAGTCTTTGTTTGCCGTTCAACAGAGTACTCAAGGTATTGTTTTCCTTCTCTCCCTGATTTTAGAACGTCGTCTCCCAATCGCAGTTCTCTCTGCTCTTTGCATCCACGTAAACCAAAATGTAGCATGTTGTTCAACCAAACAGTATTTACAAGAGCTTGTGGAGATCTCAGTCCAAGCACCTTCTTGCTATAAAAAATATCGATCTCCTCGTCGCTTAAAGCTGTGGTTGCTTTGGGTTTATTGTCCTTCCCTTGTTGCTTCAGTTCTTTCTGTTTTGCTTTAAGGGTATCTCGAGTCTTTTGAAAATCATTATCTTTGATAATAGATTTCCCATAATCGGCACCCGGGAATCGGCACAACTTAGGTGGCGCTCAACACCCGAAAAAATTCCTCTAAGTGAAGAAGGTTCGTTCTCTTCGCCTTTTTTTGTTCTTGCAGCGAATATGAATTTGCTTAGGTAGTTGTTAAGTTCAACTGCTGGAATCTCTTCAATGCTTCTCCTCTCGCCGTGTTCTGTTAGAAACTGCTTGACAAAATTTAGGTCGTACAGTGTCTTTCTCTCTGTGTTGGCAAATTCCTCCGTGTCGATCAAATTATCAACTTCGCTATCTGTCATCGGAACAAACCTTCCGTGAATCCTTTCGTTTTGTTCGTCGTCGAAAATACTTATGTCGAAATTTGGTAGTTGATTTGAAAATTCCATCATGTTTTTGAAGACGACTGATTTGTGAATGAAAAAGATAACGCGCGATGCTGCGATGGTAATTTCCTATTAGCTGAGACTGAAGTAGTCATGACAACCGTGATATCTTCACAGGTGTGAAAGATAAAAATGGACACCGAATTTTCGTCACTGGAAAAATCCTGGTATTACATCGGTGTCTATATAATAAGAATGAAATACCTTTTAATTATAATCTTTTAAAGATCAAAGCTCTTAAACCCATTCTTGCGAGTCCGATTGTTAAATTTCCTTTGAATTATGTACCAGCTTCATTAAACAGTCTACTCCGTATTAGGCCGTGATTTTTAAAAGGGGGGAAAATGAAATATATTCACATCAAAGCTGGTCGTTTTAGAAAAAGCAGAAGCCGACTGAGAAAAAAGCAGGAATATAAAGAAAGTGGAATCCGTAATGATTCGATTTAGCGCCCTCCTTCCAATAAGCCCCCCCCTTTGGAATAAGTGTCCCCCTTCAAATGTTTGTTAATAAGCGCGCAGGCAACCCCTATTCTGCTAAGCGCACATATCCTAATATTATAATATTAGAGTAGGGGTACGTATCAACCGTTCTTCGTTTAATTGCTCACAAACGAACGGTGATGCCATACATTACAAAAACAGTGGTCTTGACGTCTGAGTTTCTCCAGTTAACTGAACATTAACCATATATTTATTGTCGTTACTTTTACAGTTTCTGTTTTTGTCCCTTTTTAAATAAAAGTAATATAAAGATTTTGTTTTGAACAATCGGTAGTTTTTCAAAAAAGAAATGGGCGCCCTGTCCTAAATAAGCGCCCTCTCTTGAGGTACCAAAAGTAAATAAGCACCCCCGGCGCTAAATTGAATCATTACCAGTCCGGGATAGTTATCAAATTTGATAACCCAGACCAAAACAAAACAATAGCCAATCGCTGCACAGATTCAAGTTCACGTGACACGCTATCGAGGAAACAATTTTTAATTCAATATGGCGTCGTGAGGCCTAACCAGACCATTTCATTTGTGATTGTACATTTTAAATTGTTCGAATAAAGAGGAACAAATTCGAACTACTATGAAATTTGGAATTAAAAATTATTTTCCGTTTATTTCTTCAGAGAGTCCTTTGCTAGTTTTTCACTTATTTCAGGGCTCCGGTTCTTCTCCGCACAAGCACCCAGCGAATATGACATGATACAATGAAACAATGAAAGTAGTGAGGAATATTCTCTAGCAAACGGTTTTTATTTAATCATTTTAAAACAAAATCATTCTTAATCTAAATCATTTTCAGTCTTTGTCAGTGTCTTGCTTTCTTGGTGGACGGCGAAGCTTCCAGGTTTTCAGCGCTTGTACATGTCTCTAATACGGGTCCAACAATCTGTTAAAAAGTAATATTTGACAGAGTTTATTTCCTGAAGTGTTGCTATCTAACTTGTAAATCGTTCTTAGCTATAAAACAACTCTGGTCCCCGAGGGGAAGTTATTGGGAGGCTGAAATTGTAGCGCATAAGTTTGCAGCGCCAAGCCCCGTGAATACTGGCTTGGCTTTGAATGACTGAAGCTTCTCGCAACAATTATGTAAGCTACATATAGGAAGTTGAACAAAAAACAGACTACCACGCACTCAACCACAGGCGGCCCAAGCTCATTACATGAACGCGGACGTGACTCTTGCTTGCGAGCGGTGTTGTGTTACAAACTGTTATTTACAAAGGCTTGTATGGGATGTAAACGGTTTTTCTTAAAAGAGAGAAAAAATGTTATGTTTGTCAATAAAATCGACTTATCTTGTTGCCTTGTTGTATTCTTTGTTGGTTGCCCGCGTCTCAGGCCGTTTTGAAGCGTTTTTGGCGAGTTAGCGCTATTTTAATGTTCCAAAATAGCGCTAACTTTTGCCATGGTCTACAACGATTAGCGGACCTAAGTAGATAAGTACTTTGCTCCTCTGCTCTATAAGCCTACTCAACACAATGAACAGCTTCTGATACGACTCTAGATTCGCAGATTGGCTGATATGAAAACTATTTGAAACGCGGAAACTGCTTCTGACGTTGTTTAAATAATTTCTAAATTAACACTCATTCGTCATGCCCTGTTGTTTGTTCATGTTTCTATATATAGATTTAGCTAAGCCTAAAAACCGTAGCTTTCGTCTTTATACAGATAATACAGGAGTAAGCCAACTTTAGAAGTCCTTCATTTACGTTTCGAGGAAGACTTAAAATTACAGTCAACTCCCGGTAACTCGAACCCTCTATAACTCGAACCTCCCGCTAACTCGAAGTAATTTTCATTTCCCTTCAGAGCATTTTCTATATAATTTTACCCTCGACAACTCGAACTTTTTTCTGTTTCTCTTGAAGGTTCGAATTATCGGGAGCCGACTGTAAATACCGTTTCCCTTGTGCTAACAGTTTTTTATTTGTGGAAAAAAAAATGTAATCAAGCTGATCACATTAGTAGGCCTGGAAAAGAATTCTTGCCCAAGCCCTCTCAATACCCTCACCACACGTACATGCGCACACCCTGTTGCAAAGTTTTTGGTCATGAGCCCGTAAATGCGATGTTTTATTAGGCCAGATTCAGTTGCAGGGTTGGGGGAGAGGGGTTCAGATAATATTTTTTAGTATTCCTCAGAAGATAAAAATTTTTTTTACACCCACCTACATTAACAAGAAAATCACCACTGATGATTGTAACATTTGCAATTGTAGTTTACTATAATTTGATTTTTTATTTACATTTATTTACTACAGTGTTTTGATAAACCATGTGCCCAAGTTCTGGATTCATGGCTAACAGCTTTCGCTGGTTGGGTAAAAGAGTTTTCAATCATGTTTGGCAACAAATTTGGCAAAACTCCCCACGCACAAGTTCTGCCATAAGGATTCCTCACTGTAGTGGATATTTTTGGCGCGAGGAGGATGAAGAAATAAGAAGAAACCTGGAGATTCTTTGCAAAGGAGAGGTGTCCTCCGTAGTAAAAACTCTCTTATTACATGGACCATCGGGATACGGAAAACTATATTCAGCCGCCAATCTGATGCACACACTTTACACAAGACCAATATCAAATGTTTTCTTGTCAAAAACTGATCAAGGAAAATTTAAAACAATTTTCCTGAAGGAAGTGCCGATAAAGTGGACTCTAGATGCAACAAGCAAGAGGACCTTGTTCGAGAGTTATCGCAGTCTTGCTAAAGAAATTGGGTTAACCGAAGAGGCTAAAGCTGCCAATTCAGAAATCGCACTTTACAGTAGGACACCAGAAGGGAGGCAACATCAAATGAACCTGCAACATCATTATCAAAAGGATGCTTATGATGAAGCTTTGAAACAAATATACGAAGACGTTATGAAGAGGCTCAGAGAACAAAGTTCCTGGGTGCTTTTGGTCGAAGGACCCCCTGAAAAGGTAGCTGCTCTTCGAAACTATTGGCCACAACCAGGTGATCGCGGGTCTGGAAATGGTCTGGTCATAATAACAACGCATTATCCATCGATTTTACCCTTTGAAAATGCGGATGATTCTACTTTGCAGAGAGTGCACATTGGAGAAATGACATACAAGGATGCAGTTGACTTTCTTGTGAAAAAAACGGGCATGGCATCCTCCGGAAGTGACGCAAAGTATGCTAAAGATATAGCCATCAAAATGCTAAAGTGCAATCCCCAATATATAGCAATGTGAGTACAGACTATATAAAGAGTCCTAGGACTGTAAGGCCCGGTTCAGACGCCGTACTTTTCATGAGCCGAACCTGATTCGAATTAAGACCCACCCAAATTATTTGGACCGGCTGAATTGATTCAGACGCCGATCTTAATTCCAGCCGAACTAAATTCAGGAGGAGAAATATGCTCATTTCGGTCAAATTGCTTAGAAAATACGTTATAATAATTTATGCATCAGGTTAGGTACATGAAAAGTTCGGCGTCTGAATCAAAGCCGTTCCAAAGTCGCTCCAAAGGCGACATTCTCGGCCAGGCTAGGCGAAAAGAACGGCTGAGCCGTTCCAAATTGAAACGGGCGTTCCTTATTGATTCATACGCCGAACTTTTCATGTACTTAATTCAATGTATTAGGTTCGGCTCATGAAAAGTTCGGCGTATGAACCGGGCCTAATATAGCACATATTTTAATAACAAGTTTTATTTGCTTTGAATTATTACATGGTGGATAACACCCTCCCCGATCTGCAGAATTCTTTATATTCTACGAAAGCTGAATTCAATAACTGCTTTCTTATCCATTCAAAATAATTCCGAGTTTAAAAACAAGCTAAACGTGCTTACCTCGGTCCATGTAAGTTCATATCGATAGCGCATTTTTAACGGGAAGTCAAGTAGGAGATAAAGGGTTGTCCAGCTCCGCAAATAGTCTCCCAATAGAAGATGTCGTCCTTCGAGTTGCCTTCTTGCTGTTCTTGTCCTGTTTTTAGACAATAGTTCGCCTATTTGTTCCTGTTGTTTCGCCATTTTTGTTGTCACTACCAAAACAACTCAAACTCGACCCCAGGTTTTCTCGATTAACGGTTCAACCATCTGCAACTGGGCTGCACTTTTGACGTCATCGGTACACTATGGCAAATTCTTCCAAATTTGGTCGACAATAGCTGGTTATGACTAGCAGTAGCCATTGGCATGAAAACTGGATGGAACAACTCAGTAATGAAGACTCATATAATTATTTAATTCAACAATTTTATTTGCAGTTGCTTAGTTACAGTTAGCCAGCGAATAGTAAGGAGCGAGAAAAGAAGTTTGCATTTTATTCTCCGGCAAAGATACATTGCAACAGTAATGCGTGACATAAGTAAAGCGAGTATGCAGTCATGCACAAAGTCTTAATTGTTATTCAATCGAATATTCAGACCTTGTTTAATGACCAGAGGCCGTTGATATGCGATACAAAATAATGAAAAAACTTAAATTACCACTGGAGTTCAAAGCTTAATATATAGATTTAGCCAGGGCTAAAAGCGAAGCTCTCGAGAACATTTATAGTTCGTTCAAACAAAATAAGAAATCGTGTGATGCTAAGCGGCGAAGGCTACGCCGGAGAACGGTGAAAAAACAACAATAGGTCTAATTAGCAGAAAAGCAACTTTGCACGTGCAGCACACTTTTTTTGTACATTACTTTGCCGTTGTTTTGCATGACTATGACTCTCTGTCTTTCTCTTGCTCTATATTCCAAATTTGTGGACATGACAATTAATCTAAGCTTAAGAAAACACGGATACAGAAACAATTTCCGCTTTCCGGTTTCGTCTTTATTGACTCTTTAGCTGCCTCTGCTTTACAAGAAGCGGGTGGCTTTGCGATTTCCCGCCAAAATAACCTCGAGTTGCATTTGGGTTTCATACCTGTTGATTGAGTTATTTTACATTGGTGTGCCTGTGGTGCGGACGGACGGTGGGGCGTACGGTCACGTGATTACCAAATTTTCTCGGATGGGTAGATTACCACATTTTCTTACCCATGGTGCTTCGCGCGCGACAGCTCCGCTATTAAAGTTTTCGGATGAAAGGCGACGTAACATGTTTCGAAAACGTATAAAAGTATAAAACCCTAAAAAACCATGGACCGTAGTGAAACCTGAATAAACTTTTATATAATTTACATCGATTTCTAGACTTTGCTAGCACTCGTATCTTACCGAAAACTTGTCCCGCACTATGCTGAGATGAGGCTCTACCTTTTTCTTCCTGGGTAAATAGATTCCAGGCCGGCAAGGCGAATCGAAAAGTCGCCCATTTAGTGCAGTACTTGTGTACCTGAATAGACCTTTCCCTCATTACGCTCCAGTGAGAAAAGAGGACGAGGCTCGGGTCAGTCGGGTGGACAATTTCATACAAACCACTGTATTTTGTTCACCCGAGGCTCGAGTTGATGCCTTTGTTGACAGGAATGCGGGTGAGGTCTATTACGTGTGCTTCGGAATCGCATCACTTGCATGTGCATTCGCGTGATTACTGTGACATCAGACGGACCTTGAACTCAACACCAGGGCATTCGAGGCCACATACCATTCATATCATGCATATTAGTCGGTGCAACACAGGAATGTGAACAGATCGAGAAAAAATCCGGCTATACAGTTAAAAAAAGTGCCGCTGACCAAGAATAGGTGGCGGGCTCCTTCGTCGCCCGCAATGAATTGTGCGTCGGATTTTGGCCAATCAGAAACGGAGAAATATTTTGAATGAATAATAAATATATCTTATTATACTTTTTAGTGTGTAGAATCCTGAGATATTCATTACTAGTCATGCTGTATTTTGGGGGCCCGCGAAGAGCATGTCAAGACACGAATATGAATATTCCACGATACCACACACTAAACGGTCCATGACTTATTATTCAACTCAAGGGATTTAAAATAGAACTCATTAGAGTTGTACGTTAAAGAAAATGAGTGACAGACAAAGGCTTATTTGTCCACACTAAACCCGATAGTTTTTCGTGGAAGACTCCGGTGCTAAAGAGCAACGGCCCGGGACAGGCACTAAATATAGCATGCGTATTTCGAGTTACTGATGCACGTGGAAGTTTGGAGAGCACGAGAAAAATGTAACTTTTGGAGTTCCCTGAAAAAAATACAAAATATTGGGACATATTGGCTTAGTCTCTGGTACAGCTTTAAACAAAGACATGTAAGTTGTGAAAAGTTTTAGCGGGAAAAGTGGCATACGTAAAGTTATTCGACGTTTGGATGTTTCTAGCTTCATTATCCAGAATGAAAACCGTCAGGTAAACCGTTTAAGTGTGAAAGTTGTGACAATGGAGTGAAGATTGAATAAATTTGATGGCATTCGTGCATGCTTCATTATTATGCATTTGTCCTAATGGAAAAGTTTCGCGCTAATTAAGCCTGATTGCACGTTACATGCAAGCGATTGTTTTAGCTCCCGTAAAAACAGCATTTCGTAGACAGAAAATTTATTTCTGCACTTTTTGAAGACCGTTACTGAAACATTGTCGGTGAACCCATATTGTTTCATGTGCTTCCAGATCGAAGAGCTTGAGTTTGTGTGTTCACTGATTCCTGGGTTCCAAAGGATATTTTTTTCTTATCGATACTGATGTAGGTTCGCGAGGAAGCCGCGTCAACGATGTGCGAAGCGCGGAGAGAAAAAAATGTAACATCTCGGGAGCCTTATCGAACCGTAAGCACGGTTTATTTCATATTAGGTATTTTGAGAACGGACCTTCGGAGCCAGGGTAACTGATTCGCTGATGTAGCTGTCGATTAGTAAAACCGACAAAGTTCATATCACCATAGTTAATAACTATGATATCACATAGCCCACATTTGAATTGATATAAAACGCATCGCTCGTTTCAATCTTCTGTTTCAGCTCCTTTGTCTTGAGGGTGTTTCCTACTTTCATACTAGTGAAAACATGAAAAACCTGGCAGTGCATGGTGAGAAATGTGCGCAATCCAATGGTAACAAGTGAAATTAGGGAATGATTCAGCTACACGCGTTTAATCCAAATTACTTATGTACTCTTCATATGCCATGGATTTCCTTTCCAAAAATGGAAGAAGATAATTATGAAATTCAATAATGGGAAAAAATATTTTTTCTTTATCCTCAGGGTAGAGTATTCCTTAATTACATTTTCATTTGAGCCTCGAGGTGGGGCAAACCTTGATGAAACTGCATTTCTGCGCATTTTAAACTTGTCTGGTGGACCCGAAGATAAAAGCTGCGTTAGTCTCACTGCATGATGCTTTTGATTTCAGATTTGGAGCGTTTGTGAGAGAACACAATTACGAAAGAAATAAAACCCTTAGTTACAAAGAGTTAGCCGGGACGGAAACAGAAACACCTTACGAACCAGTAGCGTGCGTGCTTAATCTAGAAATGGATCGCAGAAATCAAGCAAAGGTAATAATAATTATTTATAATTCCAAGAATAATTTGATATTAGAGACCTTAAGATTGAGGTTTTTTGGCATTTCCCGCGAACCGCGAACGTTCAAGAAGTCATGTGACCAGGGCCTTGCTAGCCTGCGAAAATATCCGTTTCTCCTCGCTCTTCGTAGCCATGGGTAAGAAAATGTGGTAATCTACCCATCCGAGAAAATTGGTAATCACGTGACCGTACGTCAGGTTTGAGGTTTAAGGTTCACGTCGGTACGGTTAGTCCACGCTCCAGAGGTAAGTGATTTACCGCAAGGTTTTTGCACCCTAAAACATCACAATCCCGCGTTTGAGAAGAAATGTCTTTTTAGAACTCTTTCGCTTATTGATTATCGAATTATATTTCAAAAAAACGTTATTTTGAAGACAATTTCTCTGCTAAAATAGAAGTAAGTGGATGAATGAAAACAAACATGGCCGCCGCATGCTACCTCCCGCGAATCTTTAGTCCCATATGGGCAGACGGGTAACGTGAAAGCGATGAGCGCAAACCGCAGTTCTTAAGGTCTCTATTAAGTTAGTGGTGGTTCCTGAACTATGACAGCTATCATTGATGTTTTTTCAAATGTAAGTGTGCGGTTTTGATTGATACAGGAAAGATTTTAGCCAAAGGAATCTGTACGTCCTGTAGAGATTTTCGCTTTACTTGCGGCTTGATGATAATTTTTATTTTTAATGTTCGTCGCTGCCAAATATAAAACATGCACCGTATCAAGAAAAGGGGATCAAACTCGAAAACAACAGACCTTTGTCACG